CGAATTATTATTTTTAATTATTTTCCAGCCGAAGATTTATCATCTTGAAGAAGGAAACAATGGAAAAGGTAAAAAAAGATACACAAAAAGGCGGTCTAAAAAGGCTGTGTGTGTGCGAATGAAGTATTTGATTAGTTCGATAGCAGTTGTTGTGAAAAACAAAACGAATTTTTTTTTTAAACCCATTGGTTTTGTTCCGTATTTGTGTTGTTGTTGTTGTTGTTGTTGTTGTTGTTGAGGTTTTTATAGTAAACGGACGAATCGGCGGTAGAATTCTGCAGTTTAGCGCTATCGGTGCGATTGTCGGCCAGTTCGGCCTCATGATTTTGATAGTTGACTTTCGATGGGCCGACATCCAAATCGTAATGATCATAAATTTGCTTAGCGTCTGACTTGGTGAGCGTGTTGCTGGCCGAATGTAATCGCTTCGTTTTCAATTCACGGTTGATTTGGGCATAAAGCGGTTCACCACCAAATTCGTGCTGTAAAAAAATAGGGTGTGCTCTTTTAAGCATTTGCTTGTCAAAAAACATGAAAAAAAAACAACATTATACCAACGAAAATAATGAATAGTGATGAAACAGAAAAGTATGCGTGGAAATCAAGAGGCTTAAGCTCAAGAGAGAATTTCCACTGGAAATCAGGAGGTTAGGAGAAAGAGAAAACCAAATTCGAGCAAATTTGATTTGAATGTTAAGATTTAAAAGATGAAATTGACAGCAGCAAAGAATAGAAGCAGTTTTACCTACGGTTCAAAGCATCTCAAATCGTTAGAATCGCAATCGCTTTAGAATAGAAGAGAGAGAGTATGTGTATGTCTAAGTGAAATATGTGTGTGAGTGTGGCACAAGGAGAGTAATCAGGTGTCTATCCGTACGGTTGATTGCAGATTGTCATGAATTGGCCCCAAACAACAAAAGAATCAAAATAATGAGGTGCCGAGAGCCAAAGACTGAGCGAGTTATGAGTTCAAGCAGTGCCCATGTGATGCATGTGTGTGTGTGTGTGTGTTTTTGTGTGGAATTTTTTTTCAGTTTATTTGTGTATGTGTGTATGAATTAATTTGCGTGATCAATGATTTAAATCAAACAAAGTTGTGGATTATTGTTTTTTTTGTATGCATAATTTATTTATTTAATTAATCAGTATTTATATTAAATAAAACGTTTTTAATTTTTCACTTGTTTTTTTTTTCATCATCTTCTTTCGTGTCATCTCCTTTTTCCCTTTCCATCATCATTGCATTTTATTTTTCGTCTTTTTTTATTTGTTCTCAGCTTTCAATATCTCATTTTCATCTCAATTTTGTTTTTTATATAATGAATAACATAGTATCTATTTATGTGTATAAGTAATAATTATGTATAAAGAAAAATATGACTTGTTTGTTGTTTAGCTGCTCGTTTCATGTGTTCTTTTTTTTTCTTGTTTGTTTGTTTCATTCATTTCAAGCAGTTCATTTCCTTGTTCAATATTTTGGCCTATGGTCGAACATTCGATTCGGGCCGATTTGCTTTTTTTGTGTTCATTTCATTTTCTTCTTCGTTTTAGCTTGTTAAGCGACAAGGTCAGTGGTCAGTTCAGTGGTTTCTTTTTTTTTTGTTAATTCATATACTGTTTTGCTCTCGACAGAAAAGAAGAAAAAAAATCTCAGCTTCTCTAATAATATTCTAGTCATAAAATGAATGTGCAAAAGCTATGTAATCATTCGACATTCTGGCCAGCGATCCGTCTATGGATGAACCCATACTCGCACCACATTCCCTTTTTTCACATGTCTTTTTTTCTTTTTCATCGTCTCATCGAATCGCCTCTGCGTTCATTATTCAGGGGATTGAGGTAAAAATTACTATCTTTATTCGCATTTGGAATGAACGTTGGAATAAAACATTTTTTTTCTCTTTTCTTTCCTTTCTCTTCACTTTTTACCGCAGTTTTTGTTTTCTCTTGTTGTGGTTTTTTTCTTTAAATAAAAATTGAATTTTTTTTTTTCGCTTAGCTCATGAACATGTTCATTGAACATTGCCTATCGGAAAATCATCGATCAAATGAATCATCTTGAACATGTTCATCAAATTTGCACAATTTCGTCGACGATCAGCACAATAATCATCGAAGCACATACACACAATTGAATGGCAGAAAAATCACAATGAATCGACACTGCTCTGAGAATGATTGCATTTAAGCGGCGAATTTTGGTTTTTGGCAATCAATTGAACGTTTTCTTGAACGATTTTGGATTTGCAATCAATAACATTTTGGGTCCATTACGAAGCAATTGCTTCGGATCGTTATTTTCTGGTTTCGGATAGACACTCGCTGTGATTGCGATTATAATCGAGATTGAGAAATACAATAACGATACAAAGTTATATTTAAAAAAAAAATAGAGACAGTAACAACAACGAAAAAAAGTGATTAAGTTGGTTATTTGAGCTGGAGCCTTAAACGAATTGGGTTAGTGGATAGTGTTTTTTTTTAAATTCTTTTTGCATGCTTTTAGAAACTGTTCGCTCTGTCTGATTTTTTCGAATGAATTGCATAAAGAAGTTGCCATGGAACGTTAGAAAAATTCCGAATTTTTGTTTTGTCTACTAAAATTTGACTCTCTTCCTATTTGCCTAACTAAAGACCAAATGAATATATTGCCAACGAGCTATCTTTGCATGCGTTTATTGCACACCGTAAATTATAAATTACATTTTTAAAAAAAAATTACTTCGAAGAAAAAATTACTTTCGTTTTTAATTGGAATGTTACAATTTTATCATTAATACTAGCAGCAGGGCTTACGAAGCAGTTTGCGTTGATTCAAATGGAATGGGTCCTTTACTACCGACCGAAATGTCGATAAACTAGATCTCTCATCATTGCTTTTTTTATTGTGTGTGTGCGTTTCGAATTCATTTGCTTTGAAACTTATTTGTTCTTTCTTTTCATTTTTAAAATTCTTTCCAAACAAAAAATTAAATCGTTGAGTCTTAATGTTCGATTCAACTGAACGATTTAGCTTTCGATTTGTCTCTCAACATTTCTTCTCTAATCCCTTGAATGGTTTATCTTCCACATAGTAATCCCATAATTTCAATTCATATCGTCTTCTTTTATTTTCTGTCTCTCATTCTTGATTTTGCCTGCGAAACATTTCAATTCTTTCACAAAAAAAAAATTAATTAGTTTAAAAAAAGTAAGTACATCATTTATGACTTGATCTAATGAATGCGTGTTACACCTCTAAAATCGATGGAAAATGAAATTTACAATTGATTTATTTTCACATAGCTGAGTTAATTTCACACACCACTATTCCGATTCCATTTTCATTGCGTGATTTTAGTTTGTTTGTTTTTTTTTGTGCGAGAGTGTTTGACGGCGCTTTTGAAATTGCATTACCGAATCGCCGCAAAAAATGGGTAGCGGTTCAATTCAATTTAAACTATTCCTCGCTACCGAAAAAAAATTGTTCGAAATTTTTCTTTTTGACTATTTTCACATGATCCCTAACCATTTGCGATATGACACAAATGTCCATTTGAGTCCTTAAATGACCTACGTCTTGTGAATGTTGATGTCAATTGGCGTGATTCTTCTTCTTTTCGTGTTTTTTGATTGTAATAATATATTAATAAGTTCATTGTCATCAGTTCGTCAATATATAAATATACATTTACAATAAATGGTGTTTGTATAATGTCTAAAAAAGGGGTCTGTTGGGAAGAAGAAACGAATCAGCAATAGTTGTATATGTGTATAATGACCGAAGAATTGAAAACGGAACAAGAGAAAACAATTTGCTATACACTATTTATCAAAAAGGAACAAATGAAGAGATAGGGGAAAATGAGTGTGTTTTTGCTCTCTGCGATGTGTGTGTGGTTGTTGTCGAAGTGAAAAATATACGATATATTGCTAAAAAAAAATTTATTGAGTGTTGTGATCGATAAATCCAAATGGTCGTTAGCCGCTTTTACAATCAAAATATCTGTATACGTATTTATTTATGTATATAATTCTTAATTGCGTGCGAGAGTGAAAAAGAAAGAGACAAATGAAATTGTTGTGACTCAAAATATGGTTCTGAAGTTTAAAAAATGGTTTAAAAAATCGCTTGTTTTACTTATTGATCTCTCTTTTTTGGATTCGAAGTATTAAAATTACTTATTTTGTCTCTCTCTCTCTCTCTCTCTGTGTGTGTGTGTGTGGTTTGTGTACAAAAAGAGGAGGAAAAAATGTGACACAAGACAAAAAACGCTCATAAGAAAATGTCTCAATACGTGTTTGTTTTCTGTTGTTGTTGTTGTTAAGTGTATATATTGTTCCTTGGGTTCCCGTGATTGAACGCGGGTGGCTGGCATAAGTACTCTCTGTTTCGTTCAATTGTTCTTGTCTTCGAGTATTTATGTTTACAATCTTTTTTCGTTTATTTTTCTTTTGCTTATTGTTTCTTCTGTCGAAAACGATTGTTTTCTTTTTTATGCTAATAATAATTTGAGAATCAATTTTTTCCCGTGGAATAGAAGAGTGGGGTGTGTGTGAGTGTGTTTTTTTGTGTTTTCGTTATTTTTTTTCTCATTTTTTTTTGCTTGCTTTTAATTGTTCTGCTTTTTTGTTCTATTCATTTTTAATATCTTACCGTGTGTAAATTACTAGGATAAAATGATGAATTCATTTTTGTTTCTCTCTGTGTGTCCACTGATCTTTGCTTCTTCTTTTTTTTGCTTACAATTTAATTTAACTATCCTTAGTCGCTGTGTGTGTGTGTTTTTGTTGTAGTAAATTTGTCTTGTTATTCATTTTTTGCTTTATTGTTTCGTATTCCATTTGTTAATCTATAACGAATTCGTTCCAACAGGATTTAGGATTGACGAGGTGTTTCGGCAAATATCGTCGCTTCTAACGGCCAAAAGAAGAAAGAAAAATGGTCTCCGTTAGAAGCGGCGGTATTTGCTCGGCGAAATGTGTTTTTTTTTAATGAGAAATCTTTTCAAAGGGAACGATTTATTTACGTCTATATTTATTCATTTGTTGTACATATAAAGATTTATATAATTAATTACAATTTGTTTTTGTCTGTTGTTCTTGTTGTCATCACCTTTCTCTTCATAAATTTCGCATAAGCGTCGGATCGCGATGGTTTTGACCGTTTTGGTGCCGGACCGTGGAAAATGGTTGTCATTTTTTTTTTCAATTGTCAAAGGAATCTATTGCATTATGGCTGGTTTTTTTCACGGCAGATTGTATTTTTTACTTCACAATTTAACGTGTCAAAACCATCGATCGACCTCGAATACATTTCAAATTCTTTCCTCTTGTTTTACATACACATTATTTTTTTTCATTTGCTTGTAAAATAATATAAATAAAAAGAATTTATTTTCTCTATTTTTTTCTTCTTTCAAATCTACAGGAAAAGTAAAACAAAATATAAAAAAAAAACATATATATTTGTGTAGAGGTCAATCAAATAACAGAGAATCTTTAACTGTTGGCTTAATAAGTTCTTAGCATTTTTTTTCGTTCTTCTTCGTCAATATTTTTCACTAATTCTTTCCATTCGAAACGAACAAAAACAAAATCTGTATCTTTTTTTTTTTTTCTTGTAGATACATTTAATTTTGGTGGTTGTGCTGATTTTACTGTTATTTTTCATTATTAATTCTTGTTCTTGTGAATCAATTGGGTTCTTGTTAATATTCAAATAGATCGGTCGCGTGAAATCTCTATTTATAGACGTATTCTCTTATACAATTCAAATCGAATCAATAGTTGAACAGAATTTCTCGTGTTTTTTTTACGCCCATTGTTTCGCGAGAGATTTTTGGCAATAAAAGTGTTTGTGTGGTTTTTTTTTGTTTGTTTTTGTTTTGTGTTTTTTTTTTTGTTGTGTGTGTGTGTGTGGGTATTTTGGATTAATGACTTACGGATGGTGGCTGCTGTTGATTCGGACCATTCGGATACACTCGAACCTGTTGCTGTTGCGCTGATGCATCCGCATATGCCATATCCGCTGACAAGCCCAACTCATCGTTCTGCAAAAATGAAGTGGCGTTATATTCGTGTTTGTTCCAGAATTTTTGGAAAAATTTCACATTTGAATGTTGAAGTTTGAACTTGATTTGAAATGAAGCATTCAAGTTCATTCAAATTAATGCTTGTTCCAAGTTGGAACTTCCAACTTTAGTTGAAGCAAACCAAATGATAAGGAAAAACTAAATGCCATGGTCTAAATGATGCAGATCAAAAGTGTGATTTGCTTTGCAATAATCACAAACAGTACTCACGTGCTGATAGTGCAGGTTGCCAATATTGTTCACCGGTGCCTGCTGCGGTTGTGCTTGGCCACTGGCCGTCATCTGTAACAATTCGATTGAATTATTGAAAATTGATCAATAGAAAAAAAAGAGCGAGCATATCAATAAATACGCTTCTGTCATAGGAAATGAACGAGAAGAGAAAAACGATTGACGATTGCCCAAAATTTGATAATTTGCTTATCATACCGATTGTTGTTGGCTGCCGCCAGCGTTTCGCTTAATGGTGCGATCTTCGTATCGTGTACCACTCTGCGATGCCATCGGACGGTTCAATGTGCTGTTTGCATTATTTGGTGAATTCGGCGCTGCATTTCGTGCGGCAATTGTTTTCGTCACAAAATCTTGCTCTTTCCAACCATGCTTTTTGTACACATCGCGTAGCTCTTGATGCTGCCACATGGTGAAAAGCACTTGGCCGGCAAATTTCAATACACGATTTGTGTATTTTTGACGTTGTCGCGTGATATTCATAAGTCGTTCAACACCGCCAGCATCGAGCAGTGATCGTGAAAATTCGGCATTCTTTTTAATCACTTCATTGAGTGTGGCCAACACAGCGGCTATTGTGTCGTCCGATGTGCCCTGGTCATGTTGTGGATTGCCTGACGGTAGTTTTTGAACCAAATCACGCATTGCATACTTCCCGATCAATTCTTTATTTCGCTGATCAATAGCTAAATTTCGTAATGCGGTCGCAACGGCGCACACAACACGATCCACTTCCATTCGCAAGAGTTCCTATGTGTGTGAAACAGAGGAGAAGGTAGTATGACGGACGAAATGAGAAGAATATTAGAAGAAAAAAAATGTAAAAAAGTAAAAGATCGTCACTCACCACTAAAATCGGCAGTCCCTTTTCTTTTCGAACGGCGGCCCGTATTTCGATGCTGGGTTGCCAGTAGCAGGCGGCTAAATTTTGAATGGCTCCGGCGGCCGCTTCCAATGTTTCTGGATTCGAGCACGATTGCAACAGTGCCAAATAGGATTGAATGACTTCCGGTTGCCACAGAAGTTCGTAGCCTTTGATCGGTTCTTGTCTTTGGGATGAGCTTCGTGACGTTGTACCACCGGCACTACCGTTCGCCGCATTTGCACTGCCCGACAAACTATCTTTGTATTCATTGTTTGCGTCTTTTTTCTTTTTACTTGCACCGAAGCAACCAAGATTATCGCCCTTTGACGACGATGACGACGACGACGATGACGATGCACCACCGGTACCACCGCCAGCCGACGACGACGATTGTGAACTGTTTGTGGTTCGACTTTGCGTTGGCAACGGATGTTTATCGTAATTTGGATCTTCGACCTCTTGACATCGATATGATAAATTACGTAGGATGCACACGCAATTCTCTACAATTTTATTTCCAATATTTGACTTTTCAATTGCTGCCCGAACAACATACAATAGGGAATCAACAAGGCCTGGACAATCTCTAAGTTTCGTGCGCGCATATTCACCGGCCGAACTAACATTCCGTAATACGCCCGATGCATTTCGAAAAACGGTTGAATAGCATGGATCGCCGGGACTATTGACATCCCATCCGGAATGCGGAATCAGAATATATGTTACAATCACACTAACACCATCATCAATAATCGATCGCTTGAGATCCTCACACGATGACATATTCCATATGACGCCGGTGACAAGCTCCTTCACCTCCGATTCCGTTGTTCGCCTAAGTAAATTAATTAACGCAATAATACCGCCTGCATTCTTGATGGCCCGCTTATTCTCATCATTTTGACGGCCATACGATAGATTCCGTAAGGCACCGCACGCGTTGCGATACACCTCCGGACTGTCGTGTGACAACAGTTTTACGAGTGGCGGTATACCGCCCAGTGTTCGTGTACGCTGCTTATTCGGATCATCCATATAGCATAAATGTTGTAAATATGCCGCTGCATTCGCTTTAATCACGTTATTTGGATTGTTCAAGAAACTAATCACTTCCGTCAAATTCGGATCACGCCAGCGCATCGATGCGCTTACCGCTGCCGATGCAGCACTACCACGTTGCTGCTGCTGCTGATCACTATCCACTATCGCTGCACACATTTCAAGCAATTGACCAAAGAAAAAATGAAAAAGCAATGCGCGTGTGGAGAAATTGACAACACATTTGATTAGTTGAATAAGTGTGAAGAGAAATCAGACTCCAAAGAAGTCAGAGTGATTGGTGTTAGATTCACTTACCCATGTGTGACATATGCTTTTGTAAGGCATCTTCCTCACTAAATTTGCCACTCGTAGCGAATCCACTGTGATGAACAAGATAACCTGCTGTTTTATTTGGAATAATACAATTCAATTAGTCATTTTTAGTTTTTGGATTTTTATTTAGCAATTTTTTTTGTCTATTTCAAAGCAATTTCAATCGAAAAATCGATTTGTTATCGAATGCATTGCATTGCGGTTCATATAAATTCTTCAAAATAAAAACCCGATGATATAAATTCTTGGAAATTGTGTTCAATTTCGATTTTAAATATTTTGTTTGCCATGGAATTTCGATATGGCGAAAAATCATTGGACGAGAAATTTGCTTTAAAGGCCAGAGAGAGAGAGAGAGAGAGAGATAGAAAAACAGCAACTTACCAGCCGGATTTGTTGTACCATACGGCGAGGACACATATCCATATACCATGTTCGCTGAATCGTCTTGGTATCGATGGTCTAGCATTGGTCCACCCGGCGATGGTGTTATCCGAAAATCGGACAATTCATCGTGATACGGCGCTTGTAAGTATGCAACACCCGCTGGTATTATATTATGTTGCGCTTGCTGCTGAAACATCAAAAACCATTTTAGTGCCATTGTGCAAAATGTGCATTCAGTGGGAGAGACAGAGAGAAAGATAGGAAGTAATACCTTGTCATCGCCAGGACTTTCTGGTCGATGATCGTTAACGCCTCCACTGTATTCATACGTAGCTCCTATTGATGTGCCATATGGTCCAGAATTCGCATATTGTGTCGAAGGATAATGGTTATAATCTACGGCCACGGCATTCCAATCCGTTGCTGCGGCGTCTGCTGTAAAAATGGAGAGAGAAAAATGTCCATAATTAAAATCGTTCCCCGGAAATGCACAACTTTCTTCGTGTTGCGTCGATTTTTTTTTCTCTCGTCGACATATTTAGAAATCACATTTTCAACACATAGTGTTTTTGATTCAACCGTTTTCGAATTTCTGAGATTAAAATCAGACCAATTTATCTGTTGCTGCATCAGACAACTTGACTCATTTTTTTCTTTCATTTTTCCATTTGGAGTATATGGTAAAAACACCTAAGTGGATAAATGGATTTTCAGAAAAGCCGCTTTGCATTCGAAAATGACGCAGCAGTGTAAACCGGCGTCGAGAGAGAGAGAGAGAGAGAGAGAGAGAGAGAGAGAGAGAGAGAGAGATTCGGGCGAAAAATGCTTACGTGCATACAATTTTATAGCGAAGCAACATGTTAAAAGCTATATGAAAGTAGTAGCATTTGGCGTTTTTTTTACCATTTCGAGTTTGAAACACAGAAAAATATGTTTATTTTCAGCAAAAATGATGAAAAACACCAAATTAATCCTGAATTTGGCTTTAAATTTTGCAATAATTCCGTTTCTATTCATTTTACGGGAGAACTTGTAAGTAACATTGGGTATTTCATGATGACAATACAAAAAAAAAAACCGAAAATCCGTTTTGAAATAAAAAAAAAAGTGCAAAAAATATAATGGACTTGCTCTGCACTCTAATAGGTAAATAAAAAATGGCAACTTTCATTGTGGCATTTATTAGTTGCGAGTGTGCATAAGACGTGTGCAAATGTGCCTAGTCTAGTTTAATCTTATTACCGATAAGATCGGTTGCGGTTTATAAAATCTAAAGTGTGTCATTCATCAATAAGTCAAGTTCGATTCGACGTACACACTATCTCGAGGTGAAAAACTAATAACACGGTGCCACTTGTCGCATAATGGCGATTCCATCGACTTTTTCAAGTTTTTTCTTCCACACAGAGACATTAACAAAAGTGAAACCGAAAACCATTATAAAATAGAATACTTACGATGCATATGTGAATGAGTATGATATTGTGGATCAGCGATACCAGCATTAGCCGCCGTATTGTTCCCATGTACGTATAAATCGTGTGCTTGGGAAGGTTGTCCATGACTATTCTGTTGATCCAAGTGGTTATAATTAATGTACTGCGACCTGTTGAAAACCGAATCAAAATGACACATGATTAATGAATGAACAATTCGGTGAATAATTGGGCTAAAAAAAATTCCAAAAAAGAAACCATTCAAAAATGTATCTATGGCATAACAAGACAGGCGGTGGCAGGCTTGAGTTATTTAACAGTGGGAAAATTGACATTTTCATATTCCAAATTTCGATTGGAACAAAACTGATTTGAAATTCTAATTTCAATTATCTGATTAACACTCGAATAATTAAAACTAGAAATAAAAGTCAAAGTTTTACCTAATTTTAAGCAAATGCATAAAAGTTTCGAATCGAAATGTGATGAATGGATTTTCAACGTGAAAATGCGATAATTATGTGTATTATTCAAACTTTAAATACCATTTTCAAATCAAAATGCGATAAATGCATGAATATCCAATCAAAGTTCGGAGAAAAAAGTGTCAGTTAAATATTTAAAATAAAAGAGGTTAAACATTTTTCACGACACATCACATTTGAAAACCGAAAAAAGAAATTCGTTGATGCATTTTATTTAAAATTTGCATGTAACTGCAATAAAATTTGCATTAAACCGAATCGATACCGAATGGGTTTGACATCGTGTGCATCATTCTTTTGGCATAATATTGAAATTGACGTAAATGTGTCACTTGGGTAAAATGTGATGGCTTCCGATTATGTTCAATCAGCATTGATGAATTTCAATACAAAATAGGGAGAGAAATGGAGAAGGAGAGATGGCGAGAGGGAGAGAGAAAAAAATGCAATTTTCCCACCGAAATAACAAATTCCCCTGTCAAATGCTGTTTCTACTTCATTCTCAAACAATAGAATGAAAAGAAGAAGAAAAAAAAACTGTTTTTAAACATAAAAAGAATTCCCAATCAAATTCGAATCAAAAGAAGGTAGTAAAAAGAGTTCAAGTGAGAAAAACAAAATCGAATGCAAAAATTCATAGAATCGAAATCGTGCAGAACGAAAAAAATAACAGCAATAACAACAACACACAAATCCATAAAATCAAAATAGAGAGAGAAAAAGACAAAACTACACAAAGCCCAAAAGCAAAACGCCTGTTAGGACTAAAGGACGAATTTCAATCAAAGTCAGCCGAAACTACGCAGAAACCCGGCTCGACTATGGGCAATGGGAGAAAAAAAGGCTAAATACAGAGAGAATCGCATTCCATATCTACGAAAATATACGCAAAGTGATTTACTTCAATGTTAAACAAACGCTATATCTCTCTTTCTCTAAAATAAACAACGACATTTCAATCCAATTTCATCGAGAGAGAAAAAAGAACTGAGTAGAAATAAAAAGTGAATTTGATAGAAAAGACTGAAATCGACTAAAAAAGATATTGAATTTTGGCAAAAAAGCAACAACAAAAAAACACGAAATTCCAACGAGAGAAATTAAAAACAAAGAGATTCCATTCTGAGTGATTCAATCCAATTTTCGACTATTTGAGCGAAAAAACAAAATAGAATCAATTGAGCATTTTCCACAACTCTAATTCGAAATTACAATGGCAAAAAAGATGAAAAATCAAGAAGAAGAACAAATTCTAATTTAATACACAAAACAAAGACGATAGAAGCAATCTATGGACGGCAGTGATTGTGTTTTTGTTTTCATTTCTTTTTACCAGGCTCCTGTATCGCCTAAGTGCTTAACTTCGCGCACAACCTTAGTAACGGTTGTGACCTGTTGGGTTGTCTGTTGTTTATGTGTTCGTGCTACAAGTGCAGCGGCAGCGGCAACGGCTGCCGAATTTGGTGCTGTCGAATCAGATGGAACATCACTGTGCACTGATAAATGTGAGGAGTTCGGTGAATGTTCCGTTGCATGACCATTGCTGTAAAATTTTTGTTGTGTTTATTGCATCGATTTTGGATTTTTTATTTTGTTATTGAAATTCGACAATTATTGTTTTTTTTTTGTCTATTTGTTAATGTTTTTTTACTCCAAAAAAATAAATTTGTCTCTAGTTTGTTAATAGTTTAAACACCGAAAACAAAGTAAATAAATAAACAACAGCGCAGCAGCAGCATTACGAATTAAATGAACGAACGAACAAGAAAAATCGAATGAAAAACTAAATAATTCCTTTCTTTTGTATTTTTGGGAATAAAACGAGATTCGGGCGGTGTTGGTGTTGGTATGTGTTGTGTGTAGGCGTGTGAATATGTCATATGCTATTGTGTGAATGTTTCTGACCTGATTAAATCACACCATCAACAGAAAAAACCAAAAAACACAAAATATTATGATTGAAAATTAAATACGACAAACAAAACGAAAACGAAAAAAATTGCTGTGTATTCGTTTTAGCCCTTAGGCTAAACGCCGCCGCTCGTTTCGTGTTTTTCCATAACACCTAAACACCATTTTCGATTCTGTCAACATCAATTTATGGGAGGTCAAACCAGAGAAACACACTCTCTGATTTCCGCAACAGACTCAACAACAACAACAACAACAACAACATCAACGACAACAACACAAAAATTATACTCACTTGAAATGTTGCATGTCTAGTTCTGTTTGGCCGATGGTGAAGCCTGCAATGAAAAATCAGCAAAAGAAAATATGAGAAAAGCAAAATACACACGAAAACAACGAGATACGGGAAATTATGCATGAACCCAATGACTTATGCAATTGGGGAGGCATATCATCAACGGACGAGCTGCCGAAAAACTCACCAATTTATCAAGCGATAATGAAATATTCAAGAAAAAGTGCAATGATTGTAGTGCTGCTTGCTGCACAGCAATTTTGAGCTGCCTATTAATTTTCGATTACACCGTTGCATTCAATTCCCTGCGAGTTGCCAAACAAACTCTGAATTTGCATTGATGTAATTTGTTGCTACTACTACTGCTTCTGCTGCTGCTGCTGCTGCTGTCTCTCTAGCTCCCGAATATGTGAGATTTCTATTCATTTATTTTGTTCGGATATCGGCATTGCACTTTGTGAATGAATTGCGCGCATCTCCTCTCTACCTCCTAGTCGTTGACGTCGGAATGTATTCGTTCAAATTCTTGTCTCGCCGCGCTTCCGGTATGAATGGGTACCCTATATCAAAAAAAGAGGTTTATGTTTATTTCAATATTATTTATTGTACTTCAAAAATATCAAGAGGTAACTTTTCCAAATCCATTCAATTTCTTTTTTAACTTCAAATTGCTTCGCTTCTTTGCTTCAACATTATTTAAAAAAACATAAATTTTTTCGTCCGCTAAATATTCACATTCCGATGATAATTCTGTTCGAGTTAATATATGTGTATGTGCTCTCAGAAAAGCACTTAATTGAAGAAAATGTTGCAACCAGATTTGCCAATTTGTACTAACAAGAATTGTCATTGATTGGCTCGCTTAACAACAGCGTACGGCACATTTTGCACATGGACACATTGAATTGTGTGAACAGGATGATAATTTTCACAATGACTTGGCACATGCGAAACGACGTGTACTTAGCACACTACTGACACAAAGTGCACAACACTGTTTGAATAGACGACTTAATGCAATTCAAGGCGGGAATGAGAGAAAAAACTCAATCTAAAAGAAAGTACCAAAGTTATTCTTGGTAAGGAAGAAAAACACAACGGCACATCATAGAAGGAGAGAGTGAAGGAGTGAATAAGGCAATTCATAAACTATGAATGAACATAACTTGAATGGGGAACGAAACGGTAACTTTATAAAACCCCCATTGAGCAAAGATCTCTTTCTCTTTCTCTCTCTCTCTCTCTCTCTCTCTCTCTCCCACACACTCACTTCGGCAATGGCTTGTTGGCTGACTGGCTCTCTCTCATGTCGAGGTGAATATATAGCATGCTTACGATTGCATTAAGCTGTTATCATTTCCACTGATTAATTTTTAATACATTAGAAATGCATGGATTCAATATAGAAGTGTGTGTACGTATGTACGTATTTGATGGCTTGTGTGTTTGCACTTGGGATGCCCATTTCACGCTATGCAAACCACAACGCCGCTGCCACCTCGGAATAGCAAACACATGTGCATGGTATTTTGGATAGATGATTTTTGGCACCGGCTTAAATAAGATATAACCTTTTTATCAAGCGGATAAACATATTCGGCCTGCTGCTATACCGCACATAGGAAATGGAATTTTTTATAGCATCACTCATAACATTCCAATAGATATAGCAGGGCATACGGTTAACCAAAATCAAGCCGAAAGTGTGTCGAATGCTAGAAAATTCCGCCAATTTAAATGAACGATTCGAGAGGATGCGTTCAGTGTAATTCTGCCAATTGCAGCGTAATCACAGAACCAAAATTGCATTTATAATCAACGCAACGCATCAAATACACGACAAACCACTGCTCTTCGGTCATGGCAAACAATCATTCCAAACATTTCAAACCACACATACCCAACATTCTATCGAATAGACAGAAGGTATGGCTAATTTATGTGTGCCAAAAAAAAAATCGAAAAGACAGTTGTCACTTGTGTTCGATAAATGTTAAAAACGGAGACAGAACTGCTGGGTTAATATTAGCTGGTAATCGAAAAGATTATACAAGGACTATAATTGACATGAGAATTATGGGTATTTTGCTGATTACGTATCGAACAAGATTCCCGATCGACATTTTCGAGCACATTTCCTTTTTACCGTGAAAATGTGGTCTGGGGACAAATTTTTTCCTGAGGCAGCTACCGGTTGTTTCTTTCACTTTTTGCTACTTGATACTTGGGTGAAATGTGAACGCTGCACAAGATACGAGAGCATGTAATAAAGTTAGAGCGGATGAAGGAGATACGGAACGAGTGAGCGGGCGAAAGAATGACAGAGTGAGTAAGAGTCAAAGTGAGAGGATTCGTTTATTATCTTCAACATTCATGCCAATGAAAAAAGAAGAAGTTCAGTCCGGAAAGCGGATACAAGAGCGAGCGAAAGAATTTAAACGAAGAAAAAAAAACACACACACACAACAACAACTAGCGAATAGAATATTATTCGTCTCTTTCTCGATTCAAACGTGAACGGCGTAGCAACGAGATGTCTTTTACTCGTAATATGTTCCTGCGGCAGTGCACCAAGACGTCGTTCACAACACTTTCACCTTGCACACACGAAATCAAGACCAAGCGACGAATAGACAAAAAAAAAAGAAAACAACAAACACCCGATAGCGAGTAAGCGAGCGAACGAACGAACGAACGAACGAACGAACGAACGAAACGTGCATCGTGTGTGCACACACGGGGTTTTCTGCTTGGTCTGAGGACAAGTGATACGTTAGAAAATCTAAGAATGGTATCTATAAACAAGTTTTTCGTACATATTAATAATGCCAACAACTTCGGTATGTATCATACACGCGATATGTTGTGTGCTCAGAATATTGAAAAGCATTTGCTTTTTGCTCGTTGCTGCTGCTGCTGCTACTACCTCCTTCGTTTTACTTATTTTTTTTCTCGTTTCTATGTCGTCGTCGATTCGTACGCGCATCAAGAGAATCATTCATGACGAAAATTTCATTGCAACCTAATAACTAGAAATTCATCACACACACACCACCAGTGTGAGTGAGTAAGAGAAAGAGCGAGCGAGCAAGAGCGAAGATGATGGTGGAAAGTTTCCAATGGAAACGCCAAGTGTTTAACTAAAACTTTGTGTCGGCATTCACAATTCATTGTACGTTATGAAGTTGTGGAATAAAATTGCTTTTGTTGTTGTTGTTGTTGCTGCTGCTGTTTTTGAAACTGTCATGTTTCGTTGAATTTCGCTGGGTATAAATAGATAGAGATGTGTGCGTGTGTGTGTGTGTGTATAAGCGCATTTGTTGATAAATTGATCAAAGGGAAATTTTTTTTTTGGAATAAACAACGAGAGAGTGAATAAAAAAGCAACAATAATTTGAATGTAAATCATATCACAAAACATACAGCCAAAACGATGTCAAAATATGTTATGCAAATATTTCTGCTAATTGGACATAATCCAGTTATAAGTGCTTGATGTGTGCTGCTGTGCAGCAGAAGCAGCAGCAGCAGTAGCAACAGCAGCCAACTCTCCGATTTAGAGTAAGAGTTGGCTGAAAAACGGCGTTTGTCAAGAATTATGGTTTGTAGGTGGCCCATTTTAAATGCATTTGATGATGATGATGATGACCGTAAACCTCATTCCCTAGCGAAATGATAGTGAAATTATGATTCGGTGCTATAACGGTGCAGTGGCGCGCGCTTCCGCTCAACCGTATGTGTATATACACGTACCGAAACCCAGATTATTACTTCAATGAATGCAATTCCACCATATAGACACACACACACACACACACACACACACACGTAGCATCGATTGTGGCCCGTGTTGTGTGTGCGCCACAAGAATAATTCAACGCAACATTGAACACACTTGATTTTCTCTTCTCTCGTAATATATGTATGAGCATTATAACTAGCGCCACGAACGATTAAAATGCGGTTTTGATGCGCGCGTAATTACTATACACAAATTATGTGCACATCGATTCAGCGGAGACAGAGGGTAGGAGAGAGAGAGAGAGAGAAGGAGAGAGAGAGAGAGAGAGAGGAAAAGAGGCGGACTATAGCAAAGGCTGTCATATTTTTTTTTTGCAGCTCGCATTTGAGGAGGAAGATGGCAAAAACACGCGTTTGCAATAAAGAGCGAAAGAGACGGAGATAAAGAGAGAGAGAGAGAAAAACAAAAATCATGTCTTCGACAGCAGCATCAGCAGCGGCAGCAGCCACACAAACTTCTCGAATCCGTTGTGTTTGAGATTAGAATTTCGCTGTAGTGGCAATTTGATTGTTATTTATCTCGGTGCTACCATTCGGTTTTCAATCAATGAAGCATCGTTAGCTTCACTGAACTCTTTTAACAATGTATATCTCTCTATTCGCATCGAAATGTTTGTTTGAATGAAGTCACATTCCAATATATGTTCATTGTTTGTATGAAATGTAGTTAGTTGAATGGGAGATAGATAGAAGAGATTTTGAGTGTCAATATATTGTTTAGGGTTTGGCATGAAAGTTTTTCGGATTTTTTTTTGTTGCTGGTGTCGCAAATGTTTGCCTCATGCAGCAAAGCGAAGAGTTATCTTTGCGTTATTCATTGACACAAATCTTGCATTCATGAGTTGTACAACATCTGGCAGTACATCGTAACAGTAAAATCACAGACATACATAATTTTAGTCAATTAATTAATAGCATTCTGCTTTCTCTCCGCCTCTCCTTCAACCTCTGTCGCGATACGTTTACGAAATGATGTGACTCTATCTACTATACTGCAGTTCAACACGACAGCCATGCAAACATGTTTCATTCATGATATCCGATTGAACTGTACAAAATTTTTGCATTAGAAGGCCGTATCTTTTTTTCATTGAGTGGTTTATTTGTTTGTTTGTTTTTTTTTTCGTTGTGTCATTGACTGAACGGACTTTGGATTCGGCATTCGTTCGGATTTTTGCAATGTAGCTCACTTTTTTGTCTCATTTGGTTTCGATGTGAAATTCCCAAATGTTCTGGTCGTTTGACAATGACATGTACTGAGGCAATGTAAATCCGTTGTTGTCGAACAATCGAAACAGCCGATAACATACACATACACATACACACACCTTGTTTGGCATTCACCAAATGGCGCACTGAAAACTCCCTATGCTCAAATCAAACGATAGTTGCCAGCGATAAAATGCCATATTCGCCGTTTGACATTGCAAACCATCAAAATTTCCATAACTTTCGGAAATGTCGGCAAATCATGTTCATTCGCATGAGAGAGCGAAGCGAAGCTCCAACGAGAGTGTGGGAGAGAGAGGAGAGAGAGAGAAAGATGGAAAAAAAACAACACCCATACTTTGACCGTTATGCTGGTGGAATGTGAACGATGCGATCGAAATGCTTCGGCAAAACAATGATGAATTGATTTGAAGCGATTAACAATTGTGAATAATTGATTTGGGTTGTCGATTATGTTGTTGCTTCGGTGTTGTTGTTGATGATTTGTTATGTCGTGCGTTTTTTTCTCTCTCTCTCTCTCTCTTCTTCTCTGCTCTTCTCGAGTTTTGAAATTTGAATAAACAAAACAAGAAATATTCAAATGTGGTTCCCATGCCATAAACACACACACACACATATAACACACATACAAGCACACGCACACACACACACGCCCCGACGAACTTTCACTCCGAGAAATCGAACAATCAATCGTAACCAATTTGATTTGCACACGGCCATCGGGTGTCTTTCTATCTCTTTCTCTCGCCTTTCTTCAACTCTATCCCATTCAAGTGGTGATTTATTGTGTAGCTCAATTCGAAATGGATTTAGAAACAACCAACTCCGAAGCACTTGAATGATGCAATTATGACCATTTAAAAATACATTCTACAACACTGAAAAGGGGTATGAACAATTACCGTGCTGTTGTTATGTTCTTATTTTGCTATTTGTTATATAGCCGTTCTTTTTTTTCTCTGTGTATTGTGCTCCCAAAACAAATCGCACCCGTCCTCTGCTCTTTATCGTTTGTTTGTTCGGTCTTGCGATGTGAATTTTGATGTTTTACTGTTTTGCGTCGATTCTTTTTTATCCGCACTAAACTTTTTTTCTTGTGTTTGTTACATATATTTCGATTTGATTGTACGTGCATTCACGTATAATTCGAATCACATCTCACTGACTGAATCGCGTTTCGGTTTCGTTTCTTCGGATTTTTTTTTCTCGTTTTTTCGGGTTGAGGTGGTGGTTATTTTTCCTTTGACTGCACTGATCATTAATTGAATTTTATTTCCATATTCCGTTCTGTGCGTGTTGTTGTTGGTTTTTGCTTTCGTTGGCTGGGATTTTGCCTCAAACTTGAGTCTTTTCTATCGGTTTATTCGTGTTTTGTTGGTTGTTGTTGTTATTTATTATGAGTGTAGCTGTCGCTTATATGCGGAAAATAAAGGCAAAGCACACACTCTCTTTTTTCGATGGAACGAATGAAACAGACACAGCACTGGCGAACGAACTAACGAATAAAAAAAAAGCACCGAGAAATTTGGATGTTTTTTTTTTCTTGGTTGAACACACTTGTGTGTCTGTACTTCCTTTACTCAGCAGTTTTTCGAAATGCACAAAATTTGTTCGTTTCAATTTCTATTTCCTCTGTTCCGCGCGCCGCGACTCCCAATGAACTTTCCCATAAAACACACTCACCACACACCAAATTTATACACAATATGAAAAAAAAATGATTCCCAACTCTTCAATTGGATTCAAATGGAACTGGAGTTGTTTCTTTTTTTGTTGTTGTTTGTTTGTGAGATCGGTGCCGTGTATAATAATTACATTGGAAAGTATATAAAAAAAATTAATTAAAAAAAACGAAATATATTCCAGAAGAGGATTCTTTTCGCTCTTCTATGCACAAAACAATAAAAACAAAAACTGAAATTGCAGTCACTTTATCTCATATGTAAGACACAGCAGAAGAAGGGAAAAAAACAGCCCGAGAATAATATACAAGATACGAGATTTGGTGCGGCTGCTAATGTTGCTTGGCCTGTTCCTCTTCTCTTTGATAAACACTCTTCTCTCTTGTCGCTGCCTGTGTATTATTTCTTTCTTTTTTGTGTGTGGTGTTTGTTTGTTGTGAAGCACTTTTAACTGGTATTGTTCATAATTCGGTGTGGCTTTTCGTTTGTACGTTTTTCTTTATTTACCGTAAATTGTTGCACTCACTTGCTACTTATTATTAAATTCGTACGAGACCGAAAAAAATGCGAAACATAAATTAAAAATTGGGTTATATTATGAAGCGATACACACAAAATCACCAAACCTAAAGCAGATTGATGACGCCATTTTGAATTTGAATGTTGGTGCGTTTCATATCTGTGCAGTGTGTGTGTGTGTGTGTGCTGGTGTTTGTGTATTTGCGTGCGACTGTGAGCGTGTGTGTATTTGTGTGTGTGTAAGTGTCTTGTGGTTCTTCTGGTATTCCATTTACAGTATGCAAGAGACTTCACTCAAAAACCGAATGGAGTGAGATTTGTTTTTCCTCTGTATTTTTCTCTTCCTTACTTTGCTTTAGTTTTGCGTGTGCTGTTCACATCGAAATACACACAACACAAGGGAGAAGAGGAAAAAAAACACCGCTCCGATTGTCGGCGTTGCATTGTATAAGTGGAGAGAGTGAACGAGATGTTCGAGACGCTTGTTGTATGTGTATGGGTGTTGGAACCGATTTGGAAATTCAATTGACCAAACACCAACACTACCATACACCTGATTCAACGACGAAGAATGAAATTTCATCGAACCCAGCATGCACACGGCTCGTCATCGTCGTCGTCGTTGCTGCTGCCACTATTGTCAGTTCAAACAAACGCCATACAAGTGCACGATACAACCGTGTGCTTCAACATATCCATACACGCAGACAGGGCTCGGCTTTCAAACAAAAACGAATTCACTCCATTCTACCATTCTCCGGTCGCTCTCTCTCTCTCTCTCTCTCTCTCTCTCTCTCTCTCAACACACAACATCATCAGCGTTTGTGTGACCGTGAATTGTATGTGTGTTGCCGTTTTCTCGTTTTTTCCATTTATTTTATGTCTATAGATATATGGATATAGGATATGTATGTACACTTGTGGGCGACGTCGCACCGTGTAAAATTCAATCTGTATGGATTTCCAAACACACTCCATGCACTGTGTGTATAAATGGCAGATTTCGGGGAATGTGAACAAGACGAGCACATAAAGAAAAGAGCAAGTGTGCGTGTCTGTGTATGATGTGTCGGTGATTTTCATCCAATTTACACAGTGTTTTTCTTTCGTTCGTTCGTCCGCTTTTTGTATGTAGTGGTTTTTGGGTGCGTACACTCATCTGTATTGGTGTTGGCATTCATTCCATCAACTATTGTTGTCGCTACGAACGATTTATCAACGACAATTCTGTAACAACATTCAAGTATGTTCTTCTTCTTCTTTTTTTTCGTTAATTCAAACTTCTTCTTTTTTTTGAATTCCAGAGAAAAAAAATTGTTTTGATTATTCATGATAATTCTCAAAATGGAAAAATTGTTTACAAATTAAATGAAAAGATGACCTTTCAAGTTCCTAGTTACACGAAAAAAAATCCTTGGAATTGAATTTCATTTACCTTTGTCAAGGGAACGTATTCGAATCGTATGTCGTGATTCACACTCCTTAAAAATCGACATGCCTCGATAATGTTGGTCACGACTGGAGCATCTGCATTATCGTTTTCCATTTCTCGAAGGGCTTCACGGGCTTTCGTCGAGCCGAGACATTCACCGCACATCTAGTACTGCCAAAGTTGTGTGTCTCGACTGAATGGTTCGAATTTTGGTTAAAAGTTGTACTGAAAACGGTTTGGCGTGGCTTCGATTGGCTTCGACATGTGTTTGCCAGTTGGATGGAGGACGCGTCGCATTTTTCAAAAAAGCTTTTTTTCTAGTTGGACGATCGTCGGTTTCAATGGGAAACATGCACAGATGGTAGCAGCAGTTTAACAAATTTAACGGCTGCATTCGATTTTATATGAAGCGTCAGTATGCCAAAGACTTACCTTACCTCATATTGATTCGATTAGCAAGACAACCGTTTCAATGTCTCATTCGAACTTCCCGAATCGAAGCAATTTTCAACTTTTTTTCTTCATTTCTTTTCCGTTTTCAACTAAAACCAAAAAAAAATCCAATCCAATCACTTAGTACATTTTACACCAGAAAAAGATGCGATCGATTTGTTTTGTTTCGAACCAATTCCAACTATGGATCGTGAATGAGTGTACTGTAAACACACTGCGGTATGAAGTGTATCATGTCACGTGTTTACTATTTTAACCATGATGTTGATTTTTGCATCCAATTTTTTTGTCGTTGTCTCGTTCCATCAGTCGATATGGAAATTTGTAATGACCATTCGCGCCAATGTGAATAATATTTTTTCTGTTCGTTCGGTGTGTAAGCGTGCGCGCGCGCGCGATTGCGAGTAGCCCTGAAAATGGCAACAATGAAATTTACGATAAATATGTGTGACTAGGTCTTTAGATGCTAAATGCTTGCGATGTGATTTTTTCATTATTTTTTGGCGACATCGCGAAAAAAACACACATTTTATTTTCGAATGTTTATTGACCTCGAAAGGATGCGTATTTAATGTGTGTGTTTTTTTCTCGTTAAAAAATTCTGGTTGTCATTTTTTGTGTCCTTCTTCTTAGAGAGACGTCAAGTTCACGTGCGCCAAAAATAACGGACACAACTCTTGCTCGCAGTATATACAGTGCGGCCCATACAACATGAACTGTATTGGTGTGTGAATGTTTACATCGAATTCGGTGATGACATTGAACAAGAGTGTTCAGATGAGAGGAGAGAAAAAAAACATATAATTATTGTATGGCAGCAGATTCACGGTATGATGCATCAATAAATAATGTTTTTGTGATTAAAAAAAAACATCAATGGCATCATTTTACTCTGAACTGATTTGTCAGAACCGCTCTTTTGCTGTATGAAATGCTAATTTGGCTGTTTTGCAAAGAGATGATCAAAAGCTGAAAAAAAGATGCTGCAAAAAAAAGAAGAAGAATGTTTCAAGAATTGAAAGACCATGTGTTTTCATTTACTATTCAGATATTATTTCATCTGTTTATCTTATTTTCTTTACTTTATCAAATTTTCTTCATTTTGCTTACAATGTTATAATATCACATACTTAACAACTATTTAAAGCTTTTTTTTACTTTAACAATTTCAATGCATTTTCTTTAAAATCAATTTATCTAATCAGTTACGAGATCAATATTATTGTGCTTTTTTCGTTCTTTTTTTCAAATGAATGGATAAAAAGAAGAGTTTTTTTTAACGCTTAAACAAAACTAATGGAAGAATCAATGTGTTTTGATGGATGGTGATGGTTGTTGATTATGAATGAATTGCATCAAACGAGATGATTCATTTCCATGGTTGCCAGCATTCTTTTTGTGCAACTTTAAGGAGACCTTGATGAATGTTTGTGGTGTAGTCATTTGGTCGTGGTGAGGGTGATGTACTGTTTGATGACCGCGATGATGATGGTGTCAATGGCATTGCGTATTGGCTTTCGCTGCATGGTGATGAAGCTGGCGAGTAGATGGTTTGGCCAACATGAATGGACAATGGTTGCACTTTGTCGAGATCGTTAATGCGATGTCCCAAATGTGACATGATACGTTTGCCTAAACCAACATCCACATTTGGTGTACTGGCCAAAACACGGGACACTTCATTGGCGGCTTGTGTAAAACCGGCACGGAAACGATCGGCTTCGATGACTGGGCTGGCGGCTAAACGTTGTTGACGCTTCAATTTATGCAAATGACGAACGGTCAACTCGAGGATATCGGCCTTTTCCAATTTTGAGACATTTTCACCTTCGGCTTGCAAAGCGGTCACCATTAATTCTTTCAATTCATCTAAGCAACGGTTGATACGGGCACGACGTTTACGTTCCAACATTGGCTTCATGACTTTTCTGTATTGATAGGTGCGTGACAATGGTTCGAGCGATGCCAAATTGCCCGATGATTTTCCTTTCACGATGACACTTTGTTGTTGTTGAACTGCGTAAACCATTTTGACTGGATTTGTTTTTTTTTGTGTGTTTTTTTATCGCAAAAAAATTAGAACTTTTTCTTTTGAAAATTCGCTCGAAATTCACTTTTCACTTTTCGCTGGAGTAAAACGTCAAAAATTGTTTGTACGTTTTGCTTTTTACTTTTCTCTTGTTTTGTCACTGAATAACAATAAAAACTGTTACAGTCGTTTGTGTATATATATTGCGATCAAACTAGAACGAAAAAATTCCAAAGTCAAACAAACAGACGAAAGACTGTGTTGAAGCAAATAATTTTTCGTTTCTTCGTTTAATGTTTACTGAACGAGAGCTGAACTCAGAATGACTTAACCATCGCTCTCCGGCCTGCTTTTATACCACGTCCGTGGTATTCACAACTCGTGGGAAACTACTGCTGAGTATATTTCCCACACGAGTCGGCCACCTGTGATTTTGCCGTTGCAGCTGCCGTTTTATATGTACATAAAGTAATACGTACGGAGAGCAGTGAGTGAGAGACGATACAACAACCGATGACGATGACGACGACGACGGCAACGACGGCGACAACGGCAGCAACGACCGACACACAGGCAGGCAGGCTTTGAGCCTCTGTTTTCTATATGGGTTCGGCAGAGAAGGAGTCTCGCGTATAGAGAGTGTGTATAGGGCAATATAATACATGCAAACACGTATACGTTCGTTTCAGTGTTTCCATTCTATAGGGTCTATTCTATGTTCGGTGTTGCTCGTTCATTCTCTCTGTTTCTCCGTATGGTTCTCGTATGTTTCATAGTGTCTTTCTAGCCTGCTACCACATTTGCGTGTTCGGAATGCGAACAAAGTGTGCGCATCGAAAAAAAAAAAAAGAGCAGAGAAGCAAGCAGCACAGCCGAAAGAAGAAGTACTAAGAAAATGACTACACACACTCTCTCTCTCTCTCTTGTTCGTTTGTGTATAAGAGGGATCGTTACGAGTTTTTGAACATTAAGAAAAAGAACGTTTGAATCAAGAATAATATTGAATGCAATGGCATGATGATTGCTTTCATTCGAACCGAGAGAATACTTCTTCTTCTTCTTTTTCCATCATCGTTTTATTTTTCGTTCCGTCTCATTATTCTATTTCTTGTTGTTGTTGTTGTAATTTTTTCCTCTTTGATTTTTTTCTCTTCTGTTTCACTGAATGGGCTAGCAAAAGAGTTCTATGCATTTGACTGTGCCTCAAACTTGACAACATTATATAATACAACATGCATATAAATTGTGTAAAAAAGGGAACTTTGATGGTTTTTTTCTTTCTACTACTCATATTCCTTTCGACGTCATCGTCTTCGTCGTCTTTTAGATCGTGTTCGTTTTCCCTTTGGTTTGGTAAACGATTTTTTTTTTAAATTTTGCATTAAACTTTTATTATGATTATTTTCTCAGCGTCTCGATGCAGTTGCAACCGCTATGTTTTTTTTAAAAACTGAATATGGTTCTATGGCATTACCGTATGAGATGCACACGATACAATGAAATCAGCAAAAATACCCAAAATGTGTGCTCATCAAGAGCGAAATAAAAAATATCGTACATCGTTAATTGGGCTAAAATTCAAGATGCAATAATTTCATGTGTGTTTCGGTCACATTTTTAGTGTCCGATGAAGTGCATGTTTCAAAATTTAATACATGTTTGTTTTGTGATACATTGTAACACTTTGTGCATATTTTTGTTGGCTGATCATGCGCTTACGCATTTCATCGATGGAAGTGCATTCTTGATTCGATGGCAACGATTCGGTGCTTTTCTTTTGGTTCTTGTTTCGTTCCATAATAAATACGACATAAACACATCTTTTAAAGAGACAAATTCATACAGCGGTTTTTTGCTCAAGACAATTGTGATTCTTTGATATTTTTCGAGGCATCGCCAAAGGACCTATTTTTCGATTTAATTGAAAATGTTTTTCAACAAGAAGCATTTAATTTAATTTTGGCCAATTTGGTTACATTTAAACGATCAATCTCTTTTCAGAAGGAAGACTTTCGCATATGAATCAAGATGATGTAAACGATTCGACAAATTTTGCATGGAAAAAAGAGTTTGACAATTTTGTATCGAAAAAAAAAGAGTTGAAATACATAAGAATTTTGCGTGAAGAAAAAATCGTATGAAAGAAAATGGTTGAGCTGATGCTGCATTCAAAAAGATTTGGCATGAAGCAAAAATCGCCTGCAAACTATTCTACAATGAAAAAGATTGTTCTTTGTCGACATTAATTCTCGTTTCAAGCGAAACGACTTAACTTCGGATCAATGTCGGTCTCTGTGTGTCGAATAACAACGATTACATTAGCCATGCCAAGCGACTCTGTTTACTTGGCAGAATGTTGCGCACAAGTCATTGTAATTAGAACGCATATATTTCGCATCCACACCAACGATCGAGCGTTCCTCTCAATCTCTCTCTCTCTCTCTCTCTCTCTCTCTCTCTCTGGGCGTCGTGTGGTTTCAATTGGCATGCGTATAGAGTCTACATTCAGATGATTACCATTGGCCGTAAATCATCAATGAAAGCAGAGAGAGAGAGAGAGCTTGGTTTGGCTTGAGCCAAATCGAGTGGTCGATGTCCGTTGGGCGAGCGCGCGCGCACGCGCACACACACGTCCATGGGATCAAATATGCGTTTTGCTGTGCACGCATAATTATCTAAAATTACCTAAGACGAGGTTCATCTGATGATGTGATTAATCATAGTCGATTAGCACACTTCATATTCTCTTTTTCAATTCCGTTTTGACGTGCTCTTTTTCTCGATTTCATTACAGCGGCGGCAGCAGCAGCAGCATTAGCAGCAGCAAAAGAAAACGGAAACAAAAATTAATTTCCAAACGAAGCGATTTGAATGTCCCCTTTGCGCTCGCACACGAATCACTCGAGTGAGTAACGCGCGAACGTTCTTCATTCTCTTGCTTTGCATACACATACACATACGCATGCACATACTCTCACCCATCGATTCATTTAATTCTTTACGAATAGACGAAATAACAACGACGCATGAAACAGTACATAGTGAATACAGCTATGATCGAGACGATGACGACAGCAACGTCGGGCATTAATTCACTCTCATGCCCAGCTAGAATGAATGTTGCATGGGAATGTAGCTGAGCGTGCTCAGCACACTCGTGTACACCATTTATGATATTGTTAAAATAAAATTCAAAATGAAATGTAAAAGAAAACAGAGAGAACCATAGAATGAACATTGAATACACAAACAAAGCACTCGAGTGCCTGAACGGACGCGCGCTCATATAACATAGAGTCATTGCAGTATTTTTTGTTCGTATTACGCCAATGAAGTCGCGTCTATGCGCGCTCTCATAACACTTTTCGTAATTGCCATTTGCCACACAAAGAAATTTTTCGTCGACGACGTCGTCGTCGTTGGTGCTGTTGCAGCAGCAGCAGCCGTGGCGACCAAGGAAATGGATTGTGCCGCCTATGAATAAAAACTTCTTATTCATTACGATCACTGTGCACAGAGATCGACCACTGTGTGCTTGTGTGCGCTTTTTTTCCTCTGCTTCGTTCACTGAATTATGCAAATATTTTTCATACACGGATTTTTGTTGTTGTTCCGGTTATTCCTTTGGTGACACATTCCAACGGTATGGTATGTTAATATCCATGAATGAAATGGATTTGTCACTCACTGTTTGTGTGTTTTTTTTTTGGAAAAGAAATGGAATTGTGCAACAGCAACATGATACGATTCGTCGATGACGATTGATGAATGTGATACAGTTCATTCACAATTTGCGTCATATCGATTGGAATTCAAACACCAGACTGTTCAAACGGAAAAATGGAAATTCCAAGAACTTGCTTTGAAACTGTTTTTTTTACAGAACCTCGTCATACACACACAACTTTTGTAAGTGCCAAAAAAAACTCGCAAAAAAAGCACAATTAAAAACATGGAATGAAACAACAAAATAGTTGAAACCCGCCGAAAAATTGGTTTTACAAACGAAAATTAACATTTGACCGTGTCATATAGGCTTGGTGTACAGTTAAACAACGGGTGCGAAAATTTGTTAATATTTCCAGAAAAGTATTCAATTGTACGCTATTTATTCACAATGACGTTGAATTTGCGAAAATAGAAGATACACACACACACACACACAGAGAGAGAGAGAGAGAGAGAGAGAGAGAGAGAGAGAGAGAGAGAGAGAGAGAGATAGAGATAGAAAGAGAGCCGGAGAGTTCGTGTTTACAAAAATCCGTTGACGGGTTATTGGTTGGTTTCGACCTTCTTGCTGTGTGGTTTTTTTTTATTGTTTCTACTTCACTTCGGTTGAAAATGACGTTCAAGATTCGGTGTATATTTTTCTTTCTCGTCATCTTTTGCGATCTCATTTACATGTAAAACGGCATGATTCGTTCTTCTTCTCGGCTCATTCATGGATATTTTGTTTGGTTTGAACGGCGCGAGAGCCGCAAATTACTCAAATCAACAAAACCACTTGCCATTATTACCAAGTTCAATAATTCATTTAATCTATATCTTCGCTTGCGCGAAATGCTTCGTAAACACATCTCGGCGAGATGATTTGATCTCTCTTTCACACAGAAGAGTAATAAACGCCAAACAAATTCCAAACACGGTCAAAACAAATAGCGCTGAGAGCGAAGCGCAGAATGATGCCATAAGTCAACGTAATGGTTCGAAAAACTAATATTTTTGTGTTCGTCCGAAAGGCTAAAGCAGCTAAATTTGTTTGGTTTTGCGCAGTTATTTCATACTATTGTTGGGCTAAGCGCGCTTATTTGATGTCGCGCGCGCGCTCCCCTTGGTTCATTCTTTTCAATGTGTGTTTTTTTTTTTGTTTCTTCTTCTGTTGTTGGATTGTTTTTGTTCTCTCTTCTGTTGTGTATTGGACACGAGTTATCGCGCGCAGTTCATTAACAGTACACATAAGAAGTTAAAAGAAGAAGAAGAACAACAAAAACAATGAAGCGAAAGGCAAAGAAAAAAAAAGCTGTGAACACGACTATAATTTGTTGTCTGTTTTTGTTTGATCTGTGTTTTTGTTTCTCACTCTCTCTCTCTCTCTCTTTCTCTAGCTGGGGCCGATTTCTTTCGACATTTTTCAGCGCCTGACAAAAACAAGCTCGCTTTGTTTTTGGGTGTAAAGATGACATTTTGCTAATCTTCTCACTTAAAACACAATAAAAACAACAATTGTGAACTATTTTTTTTTTCTCTTTATTTCAATCGGGTTCAAAACGTAGAATTTTTCATTCGTTTTGTTTTTTTGACACAGAACCCAAGCCAACAGATCTAGTTTTGATT